CTTTGTAGCACTTGTCTGAGCAAGAAGATAAGAGTGAGGCCAAGAGCACGGCGTACCTACAGTAGGACTGAGAAGAGGTGCTTCTGACCAGAGAACCTGCTGTATCCTTTCCTGAATCTTACCCTGTTCACATCCCTAATAAGTCCCATTGTCATGAGTGTTGTCTGTGAGATCTGTGCATCCATTGCAGTGAATTACCCAGAAAAAAAGGAGAATGCCGTGGAGGGATGGTTGGTGTCAGGATAGGGAAAGAGGGTAGAGGCATGTTCGTGTTCTGCCTCCTGGGAATCAGCTTTGGGCTGATGTGAAGTTTCATTTTCCTTCTTCCTTGTGTAGTCAGTGGAGGTCAGGCACGGCCTTTATATCATTTTTGCAAAGTTACTTAATCAAGATATATTAATTTCTAAATGAACATATAGCAAAGATGTGAAAATGTCCACAGCAGAAGTTAAGCATAAAATACAGAAAATACCAGAAGTTTGCATGAATTTCCAAAAGTTTCTGAGAATTATTTTAGTCGTTAATAGGAACTAAAGATAGAACCCACAAACAATTTGGAAGATTTTACACTGGAAATATATAATGCTTTTTTGAGGAAGTTCTTTCAAGAATGAGTTCTGAATAGATCTCACATGTTTAGAGATTAAAAAAAAAAAAGATAATCTAGCCATTGGAGAATGGATCCTTATGCTTATTAAATAAATTAATCCTATTATTTCAGTGTTTGGCACATAAATGTCAATTCCATTTTTTTAAGGTAATCATTCATATTTTATACTAAGTCCAGACAAAGAACAAGGCTCCAGGAATTGATGGAATACAAATTGGAATCTTTCCACAAACTGATGCAGCACTGGAGGCACTCACTTATCTATGCCAAGAAATTTGGGAGACAATTACCTGGCCAATTGACTGGAAGAGATCCATATTTGTGCTCATTCCAAAGAAAGGTGACCCAATGGAATGCAAAAAGCATCCAACAATATCATTAATATCACATGCAAGAAAATTTTTGCTAAAGATAATTTAAAAACGTCTGCAACCATACATTGACAGAGAACTTCCAGAGGTTCAAGCTAGATTCAGAAGAGGTGGAATGAGGAATATCATTGCTTACATCCAAAGGATCTTGGCTGAAAGCAGAGAATACCAAAAAGATGTTTGCATTTGCTTTATTGACTACACAAAAGCTTTCGATTGTGTGGATCATGACAAGCTATGGACAGCGCTACAGAGAATGAGGATGACAGAATACTTAATTGTGCTCATGAGGAATCTGTACCTGGACCAAGAAGCATTTGTTCTAACAGAACTTGGGAACACTGAATGGTTTAAAATTAAGAAAGATGTGCGCCAGGGTTGTATTCTTTTACCATACTTATTCAATCTGTACACTGAGCACATAATCTGAGAAGCTGGGTTATATGAAGAAAACCGTGGCATCAGGACTGGAGGAAGACTCATTAACAACCAGTGATATGTAGATGATACAATCTTGCTTGCTGAAAGTAAAGAGTACTTAAAATACTTGCTGATGAAGATCAACCATCACAGCCTTTGGTATGGATTGTACCTTAATGCAAAGAAAAGAAAAATTCTCATACTGGACCAATAAATAATATCATGATAAACAGAAAAGTTTAAAGTTGTTAAAGACTTCATTTTTCTTGGATTAACCATCGACACTCAGGGAAGCAGCAGTCAAGAAATCAAATGACGTATTGCACTGGGCAAATCTGCTGCACAAGACCTCTTTTAAAGTGTTGAAGAGCAAAGATGTCAGCTTGAGGACTAAGGTCCACTTGACCCAAGCCATGGTATTTTCAATAACCTCATATGCTTGCAAAAATTGGACAGTGAATAAAAAAGACCGTAGAAGAATTGATGCATTTGAGCTATGGTGTTGGAGGAGAATATTAAAAGTACCATGGACTGCCAAAAGAACAAATAAATCTGTGTTGGAAGAAGTACAGTCAGAATATTTCCTGGAAGCCAGGATTACCAGACATCGTCTCTTATACGTCAGGCATATTATCAGGAGGGACCAGTCCCTTGAGAGGGTATCATGTTTGGTAAAATGGAGGGTAGGAGAAAAAGAGGAAGACCACCTCCAATTAGATGGATTGGCACAGTGGCCACAGTGATGGGCTCAAATGTAACAACAAATGTGAAGTTTGCACAGGATGGGGCAGTGTTTTGTTCTATTGTGCATAGGGTCACTATGAGTTGGTACTAACTAGATGGCACCTAACAACAACAGACATTTTCTACTTGCTCTCCTTATACCCATTTCTCACTTATCCACATGGTTAGGTTCCAAAGACCATGTTGTTATAAAAAAAATTCAGTGTTATGTAAATATTGAGGATGACCACATCATTACATAACTACCAAGCCACTAAGAATCATGGCCTAGCCAAGTTGGCACATCACTTTAACCATCACAACCAGCGTTACTATCACCTAGCAACTTGGTGTTTGTTACTGCCAGGTGTATGTTGTTAATACTAAAAATAGATATTTAAACTATTGTTGTGAATGTGAAATGTTGGATAATGAGATAGTCGATAAGTGAGGTATGTTGTTGTTGTTATTAAGTGCTGTTGAGTCAGTTCCGACCCATAGCGGCCCTGTATAAGGTTTTCAAGGAGAGGCTTTTGAGTTTGAGCTGCCGACCTTGTATAGAAAAATGTATCTTGAAAGATAAATTAAATGTTTCTGATTTATATAACTTTATGACAAAAATAAAGTTACTCTTTTGGGTACTGTGCCAAATGTACACTCTATCATTGAATTTGAGCAGACTTGGCATGGAAAATGGATTTTCTTCAAATTCCCAGAGAAGGCTGAGTAGTGTTGCACAAATTCACATTTTAAAATGTTTTCTTTTTTAATGAGTCAAATGTAGATAGGAACCTTTGATGTTTATTATTCATTTGTTCATTCAAAAACATATTTATGGAGCACCTACCATGCTCCATTAAGGGAACTAACTACCTGAATCCAATTGTACATAAAACATGGTCCTCCTTCCCAAAGAATTCAAGACCCGATCTCTTTCCTTTGCAGAGAGGATGGTATCATCTACTCAAGCAAATCCTCTTGTGGTCTCCCTCAGTACTTTAAAGTCAGAAACATAAACCAGTATTAAATAAGAATAAAGATGATATACTCTTCCTGTATGCTATCTCCTGGTAATTGTCAAGACCGTAAAAGAATTGATGCTTTTGAGTTATGCTGTTGGAGGAGAATATTGAAAATGCCATGGGCTGCCCATAGAACCAATAGATCTGTGTTGGAAGAAGTACAGCCAGAGTGCTCCTTGGAGGCCTGGATGGCCAAACTGCGTCTCTCATACTTCAGACATATTGTCAGGAGGGACCAGTCGCTGGAGAAGGATATCATGTTTGGTAAGGTGGAGGGTCAGAGAAAAAGAGAAAGACCCCCAGAGAGATGGATTGGCAAAGTGGCAGCATCAACAGGTTCAAGCGTGGCCACGAGACTGAGGTTGGCCCAGGATTGGGCAGTGATTCATTCTGCTGTGCATAAGGTTGCTGTGGGTCGGCACCGACTTGATGGCACCTAACAAAAACATACAAGAGGGGTGGGGTTGTGTGTCATCAAGTCAGTTCTGACTCATAGTGACCCTGTATAGGGTTTCCAAGGAATGGCTGGTAGGTTTGAACTGCTGACCAGTGCTATCCTACAGAATAAATGGCAGCCATATAAAAGGAAACAATGCCCAAGAAATAGGTTCCACATGGGCAACATATCCAGGTTTTAGTCACTACTGCCTGTTGCCTCTGAAAAAAAAGTCAATTCACTTGATTATTTTTAGTATTAGTCAAAGGATAACACCAACTGAAATGCCTCACTCACATAATTGTAAAATCAACAGCTGATTCAGAATGGAAATCGGAATTGTGAAAATGCCTCATCTTATAGCTGTTCTATTGAACAGTATGGTGCTAACCTGTGCAATGTACCATGATGTGAAGGATAGGTAAGGATCTATGGTAATCGATAGACTTAAAGCAAGAAAGCAATTACGTGACATACTTCCTAAGGTCTCTTCCAGCTCTAAGTTCTGTGATAGAACAGAAATGCTCGATAAATGTCATTCTGTGTCATTCGTATGCACTATAGTTATGGCTGTGTGATTTTATTAATGTGCTGGTGGTGGTGGGCTGTGGAGCCAGTTCCCACTCATAGTAACCCTGCATAGGGTTTCCGAGGCTGGTGTGGATCAGCCCTGGACTGTGAACCACAAGGTCGGAGTCTAAACCCACCAGCTGCCACTTAGAAACCCTATACAGTTTTACTATGAGTCAGAACTGACGCGATGGCACTTAACAACAACAACATCTTTATGGAAGCAGAAGGACTCAGCTCTCTTCCACTTCTTATTGTGAGTTGCCTAAAATTCTTTTCTCTATCTATGTGTACTTCAAGGTTTGTATTTCTTAGGTTCTCATTTTCTATTTTGAGTGGGACCACTGACACATTGAAGAGAGTCCCTTCACAGTCTTAAATAATTATATATCTTAGTTTTCATTAGCTCTGGATACAAACCCCCATCCACTGCCATCGAGTCAATTCCGACTCATAGCAAACCTATTGGGCACAGGAGAACTGCTCCTTTGGGTTTCTGAGACGGTACATCTTGATGGAAGCAGACAGCCTCATCTTTCTCCCTCAGCATGGCTGGTGAGTTTGACCTGCCAACCACGAGGTTAGCAGCCCAATGCTTAAACCACTACACAATCAGGACTCGTACTGCAGGATAATATAGGTTTAAATGTATTCTAAGTAGCGAATAAAACTGCTCGCGGCTTAGCAATTTTATGGAACAAAGTACACAAGCACATGATGATTATGTTCCCAATAGTTTATAACCATACTCATTGTACAGAACATAGAGATGTTGAAAGGTAAGATCTATAATGACAAGCTTCATTGTCGTTTTTCTGTCTTCTCTCTTATAAAACATTGTGCAGTGTTTATCCTCTTATCACCATCGGGATCTCTGTGGCTACTGAAGACTCCATAACTTCTCCGGTTTCTTCTTCTTTTGTTTCAACCCCTTCATTTACTGTCTCATTCTCCATCTCAGTTTCAACCTTTTTTCCCATCTCACCTGGAAGAGTGACCAAGAGAGAGATTAAGAGATGCTCATTTAGCACGAGCAATAAAGGACCCACAGTTTGTTTCCAATAGGGGCAGTTCCTGCTCTTTAGGTCTGAACAGTCTATTATTCAGGTGGTGTCAAGAACGGGAATGAAGGGGCTGACTTTGATCACTTCCCTGCTTCTCTCAGTTCCTCTGAGTGGCCCATGCTGGACACTTAGCCTTTCTGAATCATGGTATTCTCTTATATAAAACCAGAATGCAAAATGAGCTAAGAAATGATAGTAGAGTATACTACAAATCGAAAGTTCCATTGATATCAAAAGCAAAAGGTGGTCCCGCGGCATCCAATGGCCTGTCTTTTTTTTGCCATTATAGTTCTTAAAGAAAACATGTAAAGATGGTCAACATTTAAAAGTCTGAACATTGCACGTCCAAATCTGTTTCCTTGGGAAGTCAGTTTTGGCAACAGTGGCTCCCATTCTACATGGGACCAGTCATCTGGGACTAAGCAGCAGCTGCCTCTTCTGTCAGGGCTGTGTTCTCCTGTCCACCTTGGCCTCCCAGGGTTCTCTGCATAATTCATGTGCAGCTCACTATTCGTTTTTATTATCCTCATCCCTAAAGAAAGTTCCTGGGTTAAACAGTTAACTGCTCAACTACTAGCTGAACGGGAGTTTAGATCCACTCAGAGAAACAGTCTTGAAAACGCTATGAAGAAGTTCTACTCCGCACACACAGGATGACCATGAGTCAGAGCCAACATGACTGCAATTGGCTAATGCCTAAAAATTTAAGTTTGCCACCCTTAGTCTCAAAATATATACTTTTAGTTTGTTTCTCCCGTCTTGTTTCCAAAGCACGTTTTACACATCTTAATCTTAAAACTTATCTTAATAGACAGATGCAATTTTACATTCTGCCTTCACTCATTAGACAGTGAGCTCCTTGAGAACAGGGACCATCTCTTACTCATTCTGCACCTTCAGAACCTAGCTTATGGTTAGGCACTCAAAAGACTTTGAGTTAATGAATAAAAGAACAGAGACACTTAGTTATACCGTGCTGTTGTTGCTGTTAAGTGCCGCTGAGTCAGTTCTGACTCATAAAAAGCCTATCTAGGGGTTCCCAGGAGTGGCTGGTGAGTTTGAAGTTTGCAGTTCACACTACCCTGCAGCGCCACACCAGGACACCAATTATACTGCACTCTGAACTAAAATTTACCAAAACATACCTCAGGAGAAAATAGTTCTTCATTGTAACTCTAATATAAAGAACAGTATAAATTCCATTTTGTTTTAGCTAGTAAGATAAATTGCAAAGCTAAAAAAATACCATATGCCATGACACAACACATTTTTCTCTGTTGCTCTTATAAATATAAAGACTATAGGAGGCTACGAAGCAAAGTAATAGTTCTTCTCTAAGATTGGCAAACATTAAAATGATACTCTAAGATCCGTTATTTGTGCATTATTGAAAGGTCAATTTCTCTGCAAGCCACTCATTCCCTTTGACTTTTTACGCATATTATACAGGTAAAAGCCCTGGTAACGTAGTGGATTAAGAGTTGGGCTGCTAACTGCAAGGTCAGCAATTAGAATTTACCAGTCACTCTGTGGTAGAAAGATGAGGCTTTCTGCTCCCACATAGAGCTGCAGCCTCAGGAACCCTATATAGGATCACTATGAGTCAGAACGAGTTTGTGGCACACAACCGAAACCAGCATTGCTGAAGAAGGAAACAGGAAAAAATCAAATCTTTTAACATGTTGTCTTGAACATTCGATTCTACTTAACAGTCAAGCTCCAGGCTCAAATTTTGGATACAGACTATGTTTTAGAGAAATGTTGCTGGCAAGCATTGACAGAACGCCTGTTTCCCAGGAACAGAAGCCTTTCTGGTTTGGGACAAATGAACTCCCACTACCTGAATGAGAGACTCCAGTGACTGTGGATCAGCTACCCCCACCCCTAGAGCTGCTCCTATGAAGTTCATCTAAACATTCTGAGTCTTTAACAACTTTTACCTTCAATGTGCTTCTCCTCTGTGTTAGTGTGAATTTCCCTGACCATTTCCACATCTGCCTCTGCCTCTGTAATTCCTGCTCTTCCTTCTGGCTGGATCTGTTCCATGCTTCCAGCAATTTCAGGAGCTTTATGCAGGGAATAATTCTCCTCAGCTGTTTCCACATGCTGACTTCTGTCCAAGGTTTCTGATGTTTCATTCTCTTTGGGAATGGTTTCTAGAAGTTGAGACTGCTCTTCATTTCCATCTGTTTCTTGAAGTTTCTGCTCTTCAACTGTTTCTCCACACTGACTTCTCTCCAACATTTCTAGCGATTCATTTTCTTTGGGAACTATTTCTGGAATCTGGAGCTGGTCATCCTTCTTCACTGTTTGTTGTGGTTGTAGCTCTCCTGCTGTTTCCAAAGGTTGCATTTTGGCAGATGTTTCTGGAGGTTTAATCTCTCCAGCAGTCTGTGGGTTCTCAGTGCCTTCCACAGTTCCAGGAGAGGACTCATCTCCCAACATCCTCAAAGGCTGGCCCACTGTCATTGCTTCCACATCTTTCTCTTTTCTTTCAGTTCCTATGGTATCATCTTTGTCACCTGACTGACATGGCCCGGACTCCTGGGGTCCCTCTAGAAACTCAATCTTTTCTGTAGTTCCCGGTTGCTCTGTTAATTCCTGTCCTGTGGATCCTACTTGACCAGCTACATCCTTTCTTGCGGAGGCCTGGAGCTGTTCAGGGAGGGATGTAACACCATTAACTGTAGACATTGCTGAGGTCTTGAGTTTCTCCAATGGAGGAAGGTTTTCCCTTTGAACATTCCCATAAAAAGTGGATTCTTTTCCTATTTTACATGGTTGAGGTTGGGCAAAGCAGGATTGACTCTCTTCTCGGGTTGGCAAACAATCATTTGAAGTTACTTTATTGATGATACATTCAAAAAGAAAAAGAAAAGAGAAAACACAAGTTATTGTTTCGTTTCTATCTTTAGAAAGTGAATTGATATCAAAGGTGGACTGAACAGCTCAAGACAGTCCCAGGTGTGATCTTGTACAGAAGGATCTAAGCACAACCCTAGTGCTCTACAAGTCAAACCCTTTCACGGTGTGTACATCAAACACCTTCTCTTAAACTCTGAGGTCCCTCTGAAACCACAATTTTCTCTTGTTTGCTCTTTGCTGCTGGCCAATAGTCTAACGTAACACATCTCACTTTGTTTTCTCATCTTGTCTTCCCTGCCACACCCTTTTTCCTCTTTAGACTTAAAAGAAGGTATTTGCTCCTTGGACTGTTAGAGGTTTTATTTTCCTTCCGAATCAGAATGACCATCAGTGAAAGGAGAAGGCCCATGACAGAGAAGTCCTTGTAGGTAAAGACTAGCATGCCTGAAAAGAAAAGGGCAGATCAGTCTGTGTTCCTCTTTGAGGACACTTAAGAGAGAGTCAGGCAGCACGCATTATTTTATTCCTAGCTCTTCCTCAGTGTGACCTTCAGAACCGGCCACCCAATCACCTCGCCTGTAGATGGCAGTGGTGTCCTCAGAGTAACAGGAAGCATCCTATCATTTGAAACAGTGGGTGTGAAGCTGGTCTCCCTGGGTGAAGGAAGATAAGCAATTTTGTAAAATGGTTATTCTCTTTCACCCAGTAATTCTACTTTTGGAAATTTATCCTGAAGTCACAATCCTTAGGAAAATGCTCTGGAAAAAAAGATAGCATACCAGTATTCTATATAATGGATAGCGTAGTGGTTAGGAGTCAGTCTGCTAACTTCAAGGTCAGCAGTTCAAAACTACCAGCAGCTCCATGAAAGACGAGGCTTCCTGCTCCCGTAGAGATTCACAGTCTTGGAAACCCTATATGAGGTCTCTATGAGTTAGAACTGACTCCATGGCACACAACCAATCAACCAACCAACCCTCCTGGTGTGGTGCTGTAGAATAAGCACTAGACTGCAAGGTCCATTTGAACTGCAAGGCTGGCAGTTCAAAATCACCAACCACTTCTCAGAAACCTTATACAGGGGTCACCATGAGTCAGAACCAACTCAATGCCACTTAAGGACAACAACAACATCTTTTTCTCCAGCGCATTTTCCTAAGGATTATGTAATGGAGTACTGGTGTGGTGCTGTAGGATTAGCACAGGACTACTTACCACAAGGTTGGCAGATCAGACCCACCAGCCACTCCTTGGAAGCCCTATACAGGGGCAATCTGAGTCAGAACTGACTCGATGGCACTTAAGGACAACAACAACTCTAATAGGGAAAACTGGATGGAATATCATGTCACAAAAAGAAGATGATTATGAAGATTATATGTTAAAATGGAAAATAATTATGATATATAATACATTTTTTTAAAATCAGCACTTACAGTTGGATTAATCAAATGAAATAAAGCACATAATGTATTTATTAACACACAATCTGCGGTACAATTAAGTGCTCAATAAATTGTTATTGTTAAGTGCCATTGAGTCTGTTCTGACTCATAGTGACCATGTACAGAGTTTCCCAGGAGCAGCTGGTGGGTTTGAACTGCTGACCTTGTGGTTTGCAGTCCAGTGCTGATCCTACAGCACCACACTAGAAGTCCTGCAGTTCATTATGATGACGTTGAAAGGAAAGAAGGGAGGGAGGAAAAATAAATCAGAATCAAAGAAGAGAAAGGCTGAAAGAAAACAAACCAAACATTAAAGTGGAACACCAGGTAATATTTTCCGTACTCTCTTTTCCCCCACAAAACCAGTTTTCTTCTCCCCCTAGTTACACATGCTTATAGTATAAAGAGTTACCTGGAAAACTAGTGTAGGTGGAGACAAGTGAATTAGGTCTGCTTTCCCATTTCCCTACTCTGGGCAAACACTTTAACACTTTTAATATTTTGAGGTGATATGTCTTTCTGTATCTCTAAAAATCGTGGCGTCAGGATGGGAGGAAGACTCTTTAGCAACCTGCGATATGCAGATGATACAACCTTGCTTGCTGAAAGTG